GTTTAAATATAACTGACAAATAATGCATTTGCAATGACATATGTTATAATTAAATTAAATCTCACTGGTTAATAAGCAAAGTAAAATAGATATAAAAGAAAAATATGGATAGTAGGTATAAAAATAAAACGACAGTAAATAACCTATATTAATAAAGTGTTAATAGATTATATAATGGTGAAATCATAAAAAAAATCATTATCGTGTATGAAAACTTTAAGTAACTCTCATTTATCATATATTTTAACTGACCAGAGAAGAAATCAAAGTCAGAATAATTATTAATTATTGTACATGGACATATCTCTGGATAAGAGTGAATTTTCGCAAAATTAGAATTATGGGTCGGAATGTAGAAAATCGAAGGAGACCTGTGAGGATATGATATAATAAATACGGTGACTAATGTGGCCATCAGGGTTGATAAAATATCGTGTGTAATAAATGAACGATATATCTATCGCCTTACGACGAGTAAGTTAGGTAGACAAGTCCATCTGTGTAGAAATCGGACTGTAGTTGTTCCCAAAGGAAGGTTAGGTTAGGTTTGCGAACGCGTTAAATTTAGAATGTTCTGATTTAGAGCTTGGGTTCTCCACAAACGACATGGAACGTCGATGTTCAAAAATCTATCAGAAAAAATAAACAAAAGTAATTTTCCATGGACGATATCCGTAGCGAATGAAAACATCGAAATCATTTCCTTCCGCCACGCCGTCCATTTGGTCGAGTTTTGGATACGTCACTTTGGAACTCATAAGCAGTTCGTCGCATGACTCAAAAGTATGTAATCTAACTTATCTAACAAAATAATAATAAACGGCGCGTGTACCCGCGTCAGGTGCGTTGCGTTCCGAATGTCCGGTGGAGGCGATTTGGCGGGGCGACGGCCGAGCGTCAAGTGACCGGCCGCCACGGCGTGGAACTGGGCGTTGAGCACGAAACACACGCGCGGCGACCAGGTAGCAGTCGAACAGCGACACTGTGAACACGTCGGTGACGCACGCACAGCCACCTCGGTGACGTAGACGAGCGTCCAGATGGGACGGGAGTCGTACACGGCCAACGTGACGGGCAGCTGCACGTCGTGGACGGTGGTGCGGTACCGCGAGACGGTGCCGTTCAGGTTGGCGATGGCCGTGTACTCGTCGACGAAGAACGGCATTGCGATCCATGCGATCAGCGTACCGTAGCTGAGCGCGGCGAACGGATGGAGTGTCGCGGACAGCGCGACCCGGCACCGGTGCAGCGCGGTTGGGTCGCGCGGCGCCCGCTCGCGAAGTACGCTAGAGCACTGCGTGGGTCGATTGTTTCAAGCCCAGCCCGGTCTATAACTGAAATGAAAAAACCCGGCCCATTAGAGCCCTCTACTGTTTTAATTTAATTTATGAAACCCAAGCCCTCCCAAAGTTAAAAAATTATATGACGAAGCCCACTCAGCCCTGACCCATCTAATACGATTTCCAGCCCAGTCCGGCCCAGTGAAAGCCCAACCAGGCTCGGTAAAGGTCCTTATGTATATAAATTATTTATAAAGTATTTAAATTTTCAACATTTGTTATTCATTAAATAAAAATACATATATTGTAGGTCTATGTAGGTCATAGAATAATAATTTATTATTATTCATAGAAATATCCTTATAATTATGTTACGATTACGAACACTATTTCCAATAACGATCGGGTATATTCATACTGTTTATATTTAATAGCTAATAGTTATTAACACGCAGTGCGGGTATTAATATAATTAATAGATTTAAAATAATCCAAATGATTCAATTAAGTTCACCATCCGTGCCTTCCATTTTTCATTTTTAGTCGTTCACAATTATAAATATTAAAATAATTTACAGAATACAGGTTAGGTTATCCTGGTATAAAATGCCCGACCGAATATAGCTACACTATTCTAGTTTTTGATACCAAAATTAATTTTAAAAAAGCAAAGCCCACTTAGATCCGTACACTTCAAAGAAATATGCAGCCCTGTCCGGTCCAACGTACCGATGGGCTCGGGCCCGGGCTTAAGCCAGGGCTGGGCCAGCCCGACCCATGCTGGCCCCTAGTGTGCGCGTAACCGGCCGCGTCCAGCGCCGACCACAACCGGTCAGCGTTGGTCACCAGCACGTAAACCTTTGAACGCGCACATCGTGCCGTATACGATCTCGGCGGCCGCGTACGCAAACCGCTGCAGGTCGTTGAGCGCGAAGTACGGCCAAGGCACCTGGGACGCGTGCAGCGCGAACGACAGGCCGATCGCGACCATCAGCGCGCACTTAGACAGGACGCTGTAACCGCCGCGGTCGGCCGGGCACAGCAGCTGGTACAGCCCGACGGTCTTGAACAGCGACACGTCCACCGCCGTCGCCGACGACGATTGCACGGCGGCGGAGTCTGTGTGTGTGTGTGTGTATATCTGTTTACGAGGAAAATCACAAGGTCACACGAAATATTTGCCATGAACGCAATTCTACCGAACAACGATGATTATTACGTATTATTATTATTATTATTATTATTATTATTATTATTACTCATCGGGTACATTAACGATTTTCGTCCGCCATTTGCTCATTTGATCGTGTAAATACGTTTAGACGAATGCCAATCGTCTGGTTGTACGATATGTTGGGTTACCGTCACCTTTTAATAATAATTATATTATTCGTCGAGTCTGTCTCCTGCAGTTGTTTTGTTTTTACAAATATTTCCGAAATATTAACACGTGAAAAATCAAGTGATTGAGAAACTGTTCATATTATTTTATTTTATTTGTATTATGTAAATAACCATCGTACGACCAGTATGGTGTTGTTATCTCGTATGATGGTTTTTCTCGATAAAAAATGTATCTGACTTACCTAGATAGGTCTTAAACGTTCAATCGGATAAGACTCAATACCAAGGGTAAATGTTGGTATTAAATTTTATTGTAGACAGTATTATTAAATGAAAATAATATACCCTAAACAACATAATTTAGTCTTTTAAAATATGACTGTAGTTTCTTAACAATTACTTTGATTAACGTAAACACACGCACAATTCATTACTTATCTATCATTCTATATATGTATAACATAAATATATGATTATAAATCTATCCAAATAAATGTAGCTATATTAAAATGTTTTCATCATTTTTAGATTACTTTTTTGTTAATTTTTCTGAACACTAACGTCTATGGTGACTATAGGATGATTACGAGTACAGTTCTAGTTAAGTCTACAAATATCGCTATTGCGGTCTACGCCAAAGAGTTTGAAAATTATTTTTCTTACATGCACATGACATCTCCTGCGATTCAAATAGTTTATTCTTTTTTTCTTTTTTTTTTTTGGTTATTGATAGAAGTTCTAACTCACAGAATTTCTAGAAAGTTTCAAATAAATTAAAAAAAAACCCTTTATTTTAACGAGCTAAATTAATTTAATTGTATTTATAGATATAAATTTATTTTGAATTGTGTGATTCGATAATAATCATGAACAAAAATTATTGTTGTAAAATAATAATTTTAATATAACTTTTAATGTTATACCTATTTATTGTACAATCTATAAATAGGTATAAAACATTTTAAACATTTTACTGTATTCAATTAATTCGTTAGTTATTAGTTAATTATTCATGACTATTCATTTACATTATAAATTACTATTATTATATATTACATAAGATGAATATAATAATTGTTAATTTTAATTTACCTTCGAACAAACAATTCTGCCTATCGAGACTTTGGAAATAATCGAATGAGAACTTCTAATGACCACTGTGCCAACAACCATAACCGACTGACTATATAGTTTTTTTATAAGTTTAACAATCATAAAAAATATAGAATTAAGTTTTGAAAAATTGCATAATCTATAATCAAATTCAATTAATTATTTATATAAACATTAAAAGTTTGTACAAGAGGGTATTTTTAAGAAATGGACATAGGCAAAGAACAATCTTCTAAACTAATCATATGCTGCTAATATATATAAATTATTTGTATAATAAATGATTGAATAATCAAGTATTTTTTTCATTTATAATAAATATTCTTCTTTTTAATATTAAAAAATATTGTACAACATAATTATAAAAAATTAATTGGACCTCTCATTATATTTGTCATTAATTACTTCAAAATTTAAAATTTTATATTTTGAATTGGTGTAGTTTTAAACTATGATTTACATATATAATTTCTTATTTCTTTAACTTATTTATTTTATACTCTGAATTGAACTAGAAGTATTATTAAAAAAAAAAAAAAAAATAATAAAAATGAGAAATTACTTATCAATAAGAAATAAACATTATAAAATTATTATATTTATACTCTTAAATAATATATGAATACTTATTGACAATAAAATTGTCTTAAATATAAATATTATTTTAATTTGTGATTTTTTTCTATAATTTTTCTTCTTTTGTAGATTTATATTAAACTAAACTAAACTTTTCATCTTAAATAATAAATTCATGACGTAGTAAAAATTGAAAAAACAAAACAAAAATATTGAACATGATTTATTATTAACATATTTTTAAAAATAATTCATCATTCCTTAAACATTAACTATTAAGTATACCGTGTATGATTTATTAGTATATTAAAATACTACATGGTAATTAATAATTGTACATTATCTAAACCTATACCCGATAATGAAAAAATATCAAATGTAAAAAATGATGTACCTAGAGAATTAAAATTAAACGAATAAAACAATTGTTATTCATTATCTATATTAAATATATACTATAGTACATACTATTATTATTACTGCAACATGATTATACGAGTATATTAGAATAATATTTTTTACCTATAGGCGCATGGTCGCTTAGTATTAATACATGCAACGATATCACTCCGCATAAAAAATGTATCATACAAACATTTTTTTTTTGTCTTTTTGAAAGATGATCAAATCTAATATTTTTTTTTTTTATAAATTGTAATATTATACTAACAAAATGGCAGTATTTGAGAATAATTAAAAACGTTGCTATTGAATAACTCAGTCTACTGCAAATATAACTAGAAATCGGTTTTTGTACTAAATGCACGTCGAGTAAATAGTCAGTGGATTGATTGCTGTGTATTAAAAAAATAATGTTGTAAAGACATTTTAGAGTTTTTCAGAGAGATTATTTAAAAATAAATATCATTAACAAGTACGAAATTGTTTATTTTAAATTTATTAATACACGCATGATTTGATGCAAACAGCAACCTCATCTTAACTGTATTTATGTACGTCAAAGTAATATTATATTATAGAGTACAGTCGTCAAAATTTGAAATAAAACACATGCTTTGCAGTAAATGAAACGGTTATCAGGAGTGGAAAATAAATAAAGTTTAAAAAATAACGACAGTGGTTTCAATGGGTATACACCACTCTAGTCATGACTTTGGATCTCTTTTGTCTGGCCGGCAAAGCGGAGTACGTCTGCAACGGATGCAGTCGCGAGACCGGATATACCGTGTTTGGATTGTTAGGTCTAACGGCTGTCCGTTGTTCAAAGTACGACAGAGCTGGATGACTTTCTTCTGCTTCGGATTGCTGCTGTTGCTCATGTTCCTGCTGTTGTCGTTGGCGTTGATAATGACGATGGTGATCTCGTTGCTGCTGATAGTCTACCTCGGCCGACGAAGATGAGATAGATGATGACGATAATCTACCTGAGTATGGTTTTGCGTGCGTCATAGTTTTCGTTTTTGGATCCATTATCACCACGTGGTGATGGTGATGATGTACTGTCTTGACCCGCCGGGGCATGAAAATTATAATTCTGAAAATCAGAAGCTAGGTGAACACCACCATTAAACATTATAGTATCTAACCTAATCTACTCATGCACTATTTAACGACTGTCCTGACTGTCTTAATACTATCATTTTACGAAGTGTGCATAATCAACACATTATGTTTCAGTGAATATTGTAGATAGACGATCTTTGAAATGTGGATTTTTGGTAATTTTTGTTATCTAACATATGTTACTGCTTATTGCAGAATTTAAAGTTGTTTAATAGTAACTAAATAAGAGGTATATATCTGCAATTATTTAATCAAGGATCAGTTTGAACATCAATAACAAACACGCATGCATTTTGTCTAATAAACCGTAAGTGGCTAACACCATATTAGTTATTAAATAAAAATGTAATAAGTTATACAGATTTTTTTATACCTATTTTATACTGTTGAATTGACATTAAGTCAATTATTATTTTATTTAATTTAAAAACTTCCAGCTATTAATACATATTTTATGCAGTATTTTATTTTAAATTCGGAGCGGAGTGATTAATGCATTGATTTTACAATATTGTGTGTTTTATATTTTTATTTTTTGTGTATGTATATGGGATAAATAATCGAAAAATATTTAAATTTTCAACCTTGTGCATAATTTTGGTTAAAAAATATTATATATTTTATTTTATATAATTAAATTGATATTTAATTTTGATTTAATATCATCATTATTAACAGCAGTAAAATTGTTAGGTATAAACTAATAATGTAATTTTGTTTTTGAAATTTAACTTCAAAACAATTGTCTCGTCATTTCAATTACACGAATTACATTTATTAATAGAAAACCTATGTTTGTAGATACTTGGCCCACCTGACCGTCAAAGTATTGTATAACAAAATTTTTATTAACTTCAAACGTTACGTAGTCACGTGTCATTGAAATTCAATCAAGCGATTCTCGATTGATTGTCTATTACACCAGAACTCGTCACACAAGAGTAAATAATTCGTTTTTATTTCAAGACTTGTGTCGGATTCTTGAACATATAATAGATATTAATGGCTAAACAAAATAATAATAATAATAAACATGCTAACCAAAGTTATTCAACTAAACGTTCTTTCGTAATACTAACAATTTATACATTAAACATTATTATCGCCTACTATATAACTATAATAAGTTAATAACCATAAAATAAAGTTATTAGTGTTATCAATTCCCAAATTTATTTGTGTTTAAATTATACTTTAACAAAAATTATTAGGAGTAAAAAGTACACTTGATTATAGTTTATGGTTGTAACTTGTGTTTAGAACATTGCAAAATCCGTTGTCTTTAAAAATCTGAATTAAATATCTATTTATTAACTTGAATATTTTGATTTTGATTTAAATACGATATTAAAAAAGTAGTACTTATAAGGTAGGTAGTAGGTACAGAATAATTAATGAATTAATTTTTCATGAAGTTCATTTTATGATTTTCAATATCTTAGTTATATTATTATAAGATTATTTCAAGAATTTATGAAACAAAATGTAGGTATTAACTATAAAAATAAATTAAAAAATAGTTAGATTTATGTAAATTACAAATTTTTGTCACATAAAAATTAAGTTTTTATAAATATTTAATTTAAAGTATTATAAATTGAGGAATTTTTAATATTTTTCTCTAATGTAGAAAAAAAAAATTACTTAAATTATAAATTTTAATTTATTTATTTTTTGGCTTTTAAAAACTATTTTTAGTAAACCTACTTCCTTATTCCTAAGATTGAATTTCTTATTTAAAATGAGTAAAGAAATGCAATAACTTCATCTACATAACTATATTGTTAACTTTTAATTACTTAAATGGAATAATTTTATTTTTTAATCGTTAAATGTAAAATAAAAGTATTTAATTTAAACATAACATCTATAATAAATACACTTAGAAAGTAATAAGTTTATTGGTTTTGCAGGGGCGAATCTCTTTCATACATTATTAATTACTGATTACTATATCGGTACCTAAATCATGTTACTTATGTATTTACATAACAATGTACATTATTTGATTGGTATCCTGAATCATATAATTATCTGTTCTAAAATAATGTTATAACTTAACTAGCGTTAAGATTTGTATAAACAGGCCATTACATAAAACAGCATAACAAATCACACTTTAAACCTATTAATGCAATAATATATATTATAGAACTAGTCAAATATTTTTTTAAATTAAATTTATTGTAATTGGTTTTATAGAATATTATACAATATTTTATTAGATTTTGAAAAAAAAAACATGGAATGTAACAGATTATTCAAACGTCAAAAAATGACTTCATTACTCGCGTATAAAATTACGTTTTTATATGATCTAAATGAGTGTTAGTTAATAAATATTTGTTTAAAAGAAATAATCTTTTATTTTTTTTTACTACTAAAATAATATAATGGATGTGTTAAATTTGAATTCAATGGTTATAATATACAAAAAACGATTCTGAGAAGAGACGGTATGTCAACTTAGCCATTGTAGCGTTAGTGTATAGAAAAATGTATTATAGATAAATGTAGAAGTTTTAAGTTCCTACAATTTTTTTATTATTTTAACATAAAATTTGTTTAAATAAATAGAAAAATAAGTAAATGTGATGAGAAAAAATCACGTTTCACGGAATGAAGAAGCTTTTTAACGAAGAATTTCAAATCCCTACGAATACAATTTTTAAATACTAATAAAATAATTAATATTGTTATGCATCATTAAAATATGTATTTTCGTCAAAATTTGAAAAATTTTAAACTAATTTGAAGGAAGTATAAAATTTTAAAATTAAAATTATACAAAAATAATCAACATTTTTTTAAAATTATACCATATATATTATATACTATATAGTTTCTATAATTATTCGTTTTTGAATTATAATAAAGTAAAGAAATTAATTTTATTAAAATTGGTATAGCGTAAAAATGTTTGTTCTTCCTTAGTTTATTTAGTTTTGTTTTCTCGGTTATTTTCAAAATTATTTAGTCAGAAGTTTTATAAGCATTTTTTTGTTCTGAAAGATAATGACTAATGACTGATAGAAAAAAAAAATCAACGAAAAATCAATAAAATTAAATAAATAAATCTTATTTTACGGTTTATTGTCATAATTCTTCTTGTAAATTAAAATTATGTTGTCATAAATCGTTTAAAGATAATAAATAAATAGGTAAGTACGTCATATTTTTATTTATTTACAATTACAATTTAAAAATTATTTTGTTTTTGGTAAATAATTAAAATTATCAGTTTTCTAAAAAAAAAAAAAAAAATAGTAGTAATAATAAATCATAAAAATATGTTTAAAATATTTAAAAAGTATATTATGTAGTAATATACTTAAAACGTTAAAAATGCAATATATATTTTGCGTACTTATTTATATTATTATGCTCTAAAAGTCAATTACTTAAGAACTTAATTTACTTTCCACAAAATCATGAAAGAAAATGAAATGTATAAAGTTTTCAAGTAATATTAAAAATATTATTAATAATTTGATAAATTGTTTATATGATTTTAGTATATTTTATATTTATTTTTATCAAACAATATATGCGATGGTTGTTTGATTATTTAGGGTAGGTGATGAGGCCTACAATCAAAGGCATTAAGAATATAATAAATTATATTGTTATAATTTAAGATCATTGATAAAATATTAATATTATGTTTAAAAATTTTATAAAATAATTATTACGCTTTTTAATTTTGACGTATTCTTAATATACATTAAATTATAACTTTCTAGACATTTATAATATTTCATCATAAATTATTAATTATTGCAATAATTTTAATTATAATTTATACGTTTATTTTTTAAATAAATAAGTAATAAAAATTATGTATTCAGTAGGTATCTACGTTTTAAATAAACAATATTATCAAATACTTAAGATTTCAGATATGAATTTCATGTAATGTTTTTACAAATTATACATAGTATTATCGAAAGAATAACTATTAGATATAGAACTATTAGTTTTTGTAATAGCTTACCTTTTTTCGTCACAATCGACCAAATGTGTCAAATATTGTACGATAATCACCATCTGCCAACATAAAAAATACAATCATAATATGCAGTTATCCAAACATTTTATTTGCTGTTGTACGTATGCAATGAATCAATAAATATGATCATTACAAATCGTTACAAAATTAAAAGTAATAAAGATGATTTTGGAAAATAAATCTCACACGTTAACTTACGACAGCTAAAATTTGCACGGTCTCAAGACGCGCCATGTTGACGTGACGACTATTGGAGATCTATATGACTCGCTACAATACGCATTTGCCGGACTTCAAATGATTATTGATTAACTTAATAATAAAAACCACTTTGATTTGCGTTTAACCATCGCTCCCACAGAGGGTGTCACGGACCACTAACCATAGAAATTTAACATCACCACCACCTTTTTACTACGCTGTGCGTTTGTTGTGTATTGGATATACGTACCACTCTAGTTGGACAGTTGTTTATTTTTTTTCATTCTTACTCATTTCACTAGTCACACTTTATTAAGTACAATATATATGCATCGTTATTTCTTTGTGTCACTTATAGTGTCTACCGGACCTGTTACGTATATGGGTTTTTTCAATATTTATAATATATAATTGTACATATTCGTTACAAGTATCCACTTCCAAAAAAAAAAAAAAAAAACTTAAACTCAATACTTTCTTTTTACATATACGTATTATTGTATTGTTAATTTTATTTCTAGATCGCGATGATTAATTTTTGGGTTTATTGTTTAATAAACATTCATCGAATTCGGTGCTTATAAGACTTGTGCTTATACATGTGTGTGAAATATTTATTTTTTTTTATTTTAGCCAACTTATAGAGAAAAAGGTTTAACTGTGATATAATGTTTATGTTAAAAATATAAAGATAACTAGATATACATAGATGCGCATAGTGTTGCGAATAAAATTCCCCATTACTTATCCATTAAATAAGATAAAAATATATCGTGTGTTTCTTTAGCCACAGTGTATTTGCATTCTTTGAATACGACAGTGTATAATTAGTTAGAAATTGGAGAAAATAATGTCTCAACTACATATTTATAAGTTCAATTTACAATTCCATTTACTGTCTCGAAACGGTTTTTTAAATTAGAACATTGATATATTATGTATGAAACAGTTTTAAAGTTTTTGAGTTGTAGTTCATGACGTTCGAAACGTTCAAAACTTTTCATAATTTTTTGTAAAATTTATTAAGCCTATAATTATTAGTTATTATTTTGTAGGAATATTTAATAAATTTATAATATGATTAAAAAATATATTTAAATAATATTAGCTACTTAAAATACATTTACTTTAAATCAATAACTTATTAGGTTAAAAGTTTGTCCTTGTATATATACTCATCAAGTTACTATTTATATATATAAATGTATATCCCACTATACATACTCTGCTTAAATATCTAAACTTAAAACGTATTTAAATATATGAATAAATTACATAATATAAAAGTTAATGATTTAAATATTTACATAAATTATACTTAAAAGTTGAAATTAATAACCTTAGATATTTAAAAAATTTTAAGTCTTAACCGCAATTTAGTAGTTGAAACTGATTAAATAATTTGTATGGTAGTAAAATAGTTATTTATATTTTAAATTAAATGCAAATATTTTCAAATTAAATCGTAGCTCAAATATACTAATCCATGCATTTTATGTTAAAAACAATAAAAGTTATTTTTTTTACCATACGAAAACCTTCACTTTTTTTTTCTACATAATATAATATTTAAAAATTATTAATTTTTTTCATTTACGTTATATTTAACACAACCATTAAAAAAAGAGATAAAAGTTTTTTAAAGTGAAATTGCCAAAAATAATGCAATAATGAGAGGTATGAAAAATAACACATCTAACAAAAATTTGGACCCACAATATGTTAATCAGAAAAAAATATAATTAATTAAGAAAACGTATTAATAAATATATCAATTATTAAAATACTACTTTTGATTTTGTTAGGCCGATAAGTCCATTATCTGCATGAAAAGCTTAAATTGTATCATCTAGTATCATATAAAATCAGAATTGAACAGTGACCACGAAAATATTGTCTTCTTATGAAATATTACTATCTATCAACTATTAAAGCTGATTTTTATTGGTAAATGACAACAGCGTTTGATAACTATCAGTTACTGATGGTAATTTTAGTTACGATATCAGAGCTTGGTCAACTAAACTCGATATAAATCCAAATGCGTATTTTATAACACTTTTATGACGAATAACCAATTTCGAAAACGAACAAACCAAAGGATAGTTTGATCAATTTAATTTCACTACATTAGTTTTTAATAGCTCCATTTATGCTAACTACTAGGACATTATTCAAAAGTAAAACATTTTACAGGATTTTTCAATCTTTTTTAAAATCTAGATTTTGTATTCTATCCTTGTATGTTAATTTTTTATTGTAACGTAAAAAATAAATTAAGACGGCGCAAAATGTAGGCAATATAAGGACATTAAACAAAATGTGTATGTTTAACAGGGGACTTTATAGTTTATAGTAGCTATTAAAACATAGTTTTTAAATTTAACTTCTTACTGGGAATACAGAAGACATTAATAAATTATTATTTTCCCTATGATATTATATGTGTTAATAATGTAGTTATTGATCACTAATAAATAATTAATAAACACAACTAAAAACTATTTTGTTTAAAATAAATATTTTAAAAATTAAAACGATTTTGTTAAAATGCAGACTAAAAGTTTTTTAAGTTCAAAAGTAAGTTTTAACGATTATATATTATAGTTATTACGTTAAACGTATTACTAATATATTATAAAAACTCTACATTTAATAATTTGTTTTAGTATTAATCAGATGCATATGATAATAATTTATATTGTATGATAATATAATAAAATGTATATTTTAAATTTTAAATTTTAAAGAAAACTCTTGCTTTGCTCAATTACTGTACACAACTAAACAATCTAAATTTTATAGAAAATTTATTGTGAATGCTCATCTTTATTTTAAATTCTGGGAATAATATATATTAGTTTTACAATTATTTAAAAAAAATATTTTTGTGTTTAATGAAATTTTTTACTAAAGAAATAAGATTTTGACCTTCAACTCTGAAAATATAAGTTATTGATAGTAAGTTGGATTTTATTGGGGGCTCAAAAACATAGTTTTTACAAAACTTATTTTGGTTTTTTTATTGTAATTTAAAAATGAATAACTTTAGAGATTATTGAAATCATACTTAATATTAACATAGAATTTTCTAGACATGAAATAATTTTTAAAATATATGTATTCTGTGTAAATAATTTTTATAGATAGGTATTTAATATTTTTTATTTAGCATTATATATTACAGTAATATTAATAAATAAGTACCTATTTGTGTTATGATTTATGTTAATTATAAATTTTAACAACAACATAATAATAATTTTTGATCATCAATATTTTATAAATATTTAATATTTTTCTTTTTTTTTTAATACAAAATGACATTTATGGTCGTAAATAAAACTTAAGAATATAATGCAAGCTTTTTAATAAATTGTTTTTTGTGCAATTCAAAAATATTCAAAATACATAGTTACAGTTTTTCAATGACAGTTTTAAGAATTTTTTTAACACAATTTTTAAAATATGATAACAATTTTGTAATAACAAATATTTCATATTTTTAATTTAACACCTAATTCTTGAAAACTTTTAAGTATTATTTCTTATAAGTTTTTATTTTAAATTAAAAAAAAAAAATTAGCATAAAGTTACACAGATTTTTTATGAGCGATTTAAGTTCAAAATTTGACGATTTTGAATATTTAAACGAAAAACAATGATTTAAGTTATTTGCAGTGATTAAAAAATATTATTCGATAAAAAATCAACATTTATTATTAATTATTTACTAGAATATTTTATGTTAAGAAATAATTATGGCTATTATCCTCAGTAAAGTGACAAAAATTAATAACTCAAAAGCCACTTGTTCAAATTTCATTCAAGATTTTTTAAAAAAAATCATATGCTTAACAATTTAAAATAGAAATAGGGTTTTTATTTGAAAAAAAAAATTGTACCATCTAAGAATACTTCTTAAATTTAAAAAATAAATCATTGTATTTAAAAATATGGTTTTTGCATTTTTAAAAACTCTATAAACCAGAATTTAAAAAAATGTATTATTAAATGATAAAAAAATGTGTGAAAGTATTTGGTGAATCATTTTAAATAGCTTATTATTTTTCTGATTTGTATTTTTTTAGTAAAATATTTAATAGTTTGTTTTCTACCGTACAAGATCAACGCATGCAAAATAGATTGCGTGTAACCGTTATACACACCTATAAATTAGTTTTAAATTGAAAGTTATAAGGCGTTAGTAAACAGAATATTTGTATTTAATTTAACATCAAATAAGCATGATATGTAAAAAGTATGAATAAACATAGTTAATATATTTTTAAAATAACAAACGACTGTACTTGATTAACATAATATGAATATTATAACTTCTTCAACTTATAATAAACACAGTCACACCTATTAGATCCGTTATAGACGGTATCTGGAAAAAAAATATACGATACGGCAATAGTCGGCAAGGCTTCTCCCAGTATTATCACTGATAAAATCATAACATATAGATAAACAAATAAATAAAAATAATTTTTAAAACATTACACATGTAATATTTGGTTGTGTACAAAACACTGAAATCGTAATCAATATAGATATTTAATTTAATTCTTGAGTAATAAAATTAATAAACTAATAAATAAATAGGAAATTTTGTATAAAGTAATGTTTGTAATTATTAAGCGCTTATGTTAAAAATGTAACGTAGACTTCTGTTTATTCTATTTACTATGCATATTTTTATTTAACATTTTTTTACTTAACTTAAATATATTAATATAGTAACTTATGTCTCCTCTACCTATATTAACATTTTCAATAAACAAGAAAGATTAAAAACAATATTTATAACTATTATTATTCTTTAGTAAACTTGCAATAATAATATTTATTGTCTAATTGGTATTGACTGTAAAAAATAAAAAACCTATTAGGTTTATTCGTGACCTTTAAAAATAAATCAAAGGACCAAGGTAAAATATATAAACACTTTCACTTCACAATATTATCAAAGTAGCAAATACAAATAAATCAATAGGTATTGACTTTAATATATTCATCTTCACTAATTGCTAATCAAGTAGTGTATTAATTAATGTCTTGATTAAATATTAC